GCGTTTCTTCCCAGAAACTTGGGATCTTTTTGGGATTACTCTGGCCATACTGAAGTCGTCGTCGGGGCACCCGTAGCCGGAACAGCTGCGCACGGGCGCCGCCGCGGCCAACTGCGAGTCGGTCTCCAGCGACCCGAACGGACCTGCAGGCAGAAATCAGCGATAAAGGATCATCTCAACTGTCCCAATCCAGACAAAAATAGATAAGACCGATCCGAGGAGAACAAGAAGAACAAGAAGTATTTTGATGATAGATATGGAGCAATGTCTCGAGCAATGTTCAATATCATTCTGAGTTTAGACTTGTAGACGCCAATATGGCATCCCGAAAATTGTGAGTATAATGAGATGTCTTATCAATGATGTGTCTCTGAGGTATAAGTGACTTCTATGTGCTCCTCGGGGTGACAGACCGCATTCAAACATCTAAGCAGGCCTATCTATCTACGGCAAACTAACTGTATACTGTGCTCAATACTTTTTTCCTCCCGAACCCAATTGGGTTTTTTCATCTTTGGCCCCACCTTGGGCGCGAAGCGATAGTCCCTCGCCCCTTGCTCTGAGTCGCCGCCTTCCCCTCCCCGCCCCGGTCTCGGCCCCCTCCCTCGGCGGGCTGGACCTTGGGGCCGTGTCCAGACCGGCCACCTCGAAGACAGCTGCCCTCCCTGCCCCACCCTCCACACCATTGGTCCTCGACACGACGCTGAGTTGCTTCGGACGCGACCCGGCGTGAGCGAGCTGTGCCATGCAGTCTGGGCGTGCAGGAAGCGGTCATGCATCATGCAGCATGCAGTGCAGCCACCCGGCTCCGTATCTATCGCAAGCGCGCGCTTTCGCTTTGGGCGTTTGCAAGGCCCGCGGCGAAAAGGCGTCGCTTTCGGATACGTTCCATTGGGATGTTGTAGATGCCACGTCACATTTAAGAACCGAATGTCAGTTACATTGTACGAATTTCGCTCACTTGTAGCGTAAGGGTATGACTAGTTGTGTGAACGAAATCTCACTTTTCTCCTGCAGAAGAGAGCGTATAAATACTCTTTATCTGCAAAATTGACCACACTTTCGTCGCTCACACACAATGAGCAACATTCGTGAACGTTTTTCAGTGCAGGGTGCTAAGATGTGAAAACGCCAATAGATGGTAGACCGGGTGCGTAAAAGCTTTCAAAGTACAATGCCTATCCAGGTTCAAAGCAACTCTGCAACAAAAATAAAACAAGATGATATTTGATTATAATGTACGATTAACGTACATGATGCTAACTTAGTCATACTGAAAGAAAGAAAACAGTAACAAAAATAAAAACGTAGCACGTGATATCGTCGAGTCTTTCACGATATTGAGATACTATGAGGGAAAAGCAAACTACGTAGAGCGTGTGGTCACGTTTTTCTAAAACAATTAAAACGAAAAAAATAATATGAGATGAACTACGATAAAAATCATATCCAAATTAGCGCTTTTCACTATCTTTCTAAACTGCTTCATGGTATGCACCAGGAGTGGGCGCTGTCGTGGTGGTGCTGTGTGCGGCGACGTGGTGCTTGCTGCCGTGGTGGTGATGGTGGTGGTGCTGGTGTGCGTTGTGCTGCCGCTGGGCCTTGTTGAAGGAGAGGGCGTCCTTCCCGATGGG